TGAAGCTTTTGATGGTGGAAAACTGGATTTCTCTCTGGAATCATCAGATGTAAGACTACTCCTTGGTGCCACTAAACCCGACATCATCGACAAGTCGACCCTGGCAGAAATTCTCGTAGCATCATCAAGGTTTTCCCAGATTTTGCCCAGGCAGCACTGTGAGCCAGTGACCCTGGATGAGAGGCTCTCTTGTGATGATTCCCCTGTGCATCTGCATTTGATTCTATTACTTGTGACGGTCTAGGCGGATCAATAGGAAAGCCCGAGGTGACTTCTTCGGGATAAAGATTAAACTTCTCGCTCTGGCTCTTTGAATCGGATTGAATTTGCCTTTTCTGGAATGTCAAACCAATGATAGAACACGGAATTAATGCAAATTTAATATCACACTGAAATAACCAAATCATTTATTAAGTTACCTGCATCTATAGGACTAGTTCAGCATTCGCATCAGGTGCTAGAACAGCTCGAGACTCTCTTGTTGCTCTCCTTTCAATATCAGGTCTCGGGACTTCGGTTCCAGCTGCTCCTTGTCTACAATATAAAACAAAAGTAGATTTATCAGCATTGATACCTACCACTTGAGATTTCGAGCAATTACAACGGCATTTATAGCATAATTATCTTCAAAACAAATAAAGAGAAATATTTTATGGTAATCAGATATATAATATGCACCTTCTAGATCCCTCATCCCTTATCTTTGCATCTAACTCTTTGCTCGGAGGATGCTTTGGCAAGCTCGAAGGATCGCTGGGAAGAGGTTCCGTTGTAAAGAACTGGAAAACACACATAAGTCAAGGACACAAGACTGAGGGAAAAGTAAAACAACGTGATTTTGGACTAATCCGACCATTTAGAATAAAATTGTAACCTCACTCCTGAGAGCAGAAGCTGCAGATCCGCGATCATCAGGGTCGATGGAAAGTAAGGTCTCCATGAGTGCTAAAGCTGGTGCAGGAAATTCCTTAAATGTTTCAGCAACACAGCGTCTATAAGGCCGCTGGGGCTTAAAAATGGTTGCATGAGGCAACTTCGATTTTCTCCAAAACTCTTCGGAAGAAAAGCCACAAAGTTTGAAAATTTTATGCAACTGCTCTACCTATAAAGACGGTTCTCGATCATTTCAATTTTGCAACAAATATGTATTTTCTTACAGGCATGTTATATGCATGGACATGTCATTACTAAAATTTTATTTGCTCAAATATGTATGAAAGTTTTCTAAATGCTTTGTAGCGAATTTTTCATTCAAATAATAAAAGCACACCTCGGTTCTTCCAGGCATAACTGGCTTGCCGGCATATAACTCGGCAAGTATGCAACCTGTACTCCATAGATCCACAGCTTTCCCATAGTTAGTGGCTCCAAGTAAAAGCTCTGGTGGTCTATACCAAAGGGTTACGACACGGCTAGTCAAGGGCTGATTTTGATGGGGATCGAAAAAGCTAGCCAGACCGAAGTCTGCAATCTTCAGGATGCCATTATTATCGATTAGAAGATTGGAACCCTTTATGTCACGCTGCAGGACACCACTGCAGTGACAATGATCAAGACCACACAAGAGCTGCTGTACATAACCTGCCCAATAGGTTGATAAATCGAATGTCGGGATAGCCCTTCAATGCAAATAAACTTCGGAAGAAATCAAATTGCAGCTAGGAAAAACATAACAAATAAAACAATCTGAAGTACCTGTGATTCTGAAAATTTGAGTCCAGGGTGTGAAGCAAGACCAGCCAAGTCGTGTTCCATGTACTCAAAAACAAGATACAGGCTGCAAGATATCCTTGAGGTAACCAGACCTTCCAGCTTTATAATATTCTGATGATCAAGTCTACGTAAACTGTGAATTTCCCTAGCCATGAATCGAACACTCTCAGGCTCGAGGTTATCAAATCTTACTATCTTCAGTGCAACTATTTTTTTCTGATCTAAATCACAAGCCTTATAAACATTACTATAAGTTCCCTGGCCAATCTGCACAGAAAATACAGATTTGCTAGCGGTTTAGGAATTTATTAATTACACCATATTTTACAATCATTAATAGATGTCAAAATGGATTATCAGTAACTATGATCTCCGAATTTAATAGCACAAAAGTGAATCTCAACAGTTGATACAGAGACATGCATATTTAAAAATCAATTATCAAGTCGAATAAAGAAATTATGAATGATATGAGCAACATGAAGATACAACAAGGAACACTGTTAAGTTAAAGCATCATTACTTTATCCAGCTTCTCAAACGAGTCTGCACGATGCCGTAGCCATCCCCGGATCGCCTCCCTAGCCTTAGTTTAAAAAAGCGCCGCTTAAGCGCGATTAAAGCGCTAAGCGAGCGAGGCCCCTGGCGCTTCAGCATAGCAAAAGCACTACGAATTCATTAAGCGGTAGTAATCGGCGCTTTTGCAGCGCTTTTAGCAAAGCGCTAATCGACGTTTAATCGCGAGTTTAGAAGATACGATTCTGGGCTTTAGCAGATACGATTTTTGGGCTTATTTAGGGTTTAGCAAGCTATTAAATTATCAGTTTTGGTTTTTTTTTTCTTGTAGCTTCACACTAAGAAACGAAATAGATTGACACAATCTAGATTGAATGACATGGTGTTTGTGAAATTCAATCATGCCTTAGAGCGCCGAGCTAAAAGTAAGGAGATCGATCCCATTCTTTTGCAAGATATTGATGAGAGCAATGAGTGGTTGATGGGAAGAATGGAAGAAGATGAAGATGATAATGAGGCGGTGTTTGTTGGTGAGGATTTGACATAGAGTGATGTTGCTAACGCTTCCGGTGCATATGAGCCTAGTTATCTAACTAGAGCATCAAAAGTAGTGAATGATGGAGCCGGACCATCGAGAAATGATAAAGGGAAATCTCCTGCTCATAATCCTATCTCTAGTAGACCATCTCGTAGATACTTAGTTGATGAAGATGAGATGGAAGAAGATATTGGAGTGTCTAGTGATGAAGGAAATGGTGTTGTCCGAGTTGATGACGATTTAGAAGATTTTTAGTTATAAGGAATTGAGGGTTTAGAAAAATACTTTTGTTCATCTCACTTTAGACTACTTTTAGTATAGACCATCTTTTGAGATTAGTATGCTCGTATAGTCGTATGGTTAATCGTATATAAGTATTTAAGTGTTTATAACTTATAAGTTATAAGTAAATTGAGAATTATATTTTGGTGTTTAAGTATTTATAAGTTTTGAATATATGTATTGACACTTTGATATTTAAGTATTTATAAGATAATTTATAAATATTTTGTATTTTTTGTGAATTTCAGCTTTTTTGACGTTTCTTGTGCATAAAGCGAGCGCTTTCGCTTAACGTTTCGGCATCTAAGACCCTAGGCGCTTTAGGGCGCTTTACGCTTTTTAAAACCAAGTCCCCAGCCACCGCAGCCAACCAAGCAAGCATGCCACCCTGCTGCCACCTGCTCTCCTTGTGTGGCTTTGGGAACACTACCAATCCCTGGATGTTGAACAACAACATACTCCATCTTCTCTCTTTTCCTATCCAAATTCTCACCCTGTAATCGGACCAAATCGCTCACTTGTTTATCACTCAACATTGTGTTATCATGTCGATCCTTGGCTATATTCGATTCCTTGCTCCTTGAAGAAGTAGCTCTTGGTACCCTAACATCCCACGAGGCTTTACTTGAAGGTCTCTCTCTAGGACACTCCTTACTATCTTCAATGGCACAAGGCTTGCAACAAATGCAACCCATCATACACCAAAACCACCCCCCAACAAGAGCTTATTTCAGTGTTTCTTACAGTCACTAACTACCCTTCATTCCTTCAAGAATTATGCTTTTTCCAATAAAAGCTTAGCTAAAACTAAAATCTCACCATCCAAATTCCAATTTAATAAAAATAAATAAATCCGATTCCTTCACCAGCAATTAACCAAATGAACAAAACGAAGAACCCATTTTCTCTAATAAAAGCAACAAAGCTGCAAACTTTACTACAAGGCACAAACCCAATATTGAATGCAAATTTTCAATCTAATCAAGCTCCCATTTCTTCAACAACATTTCAGCAAAATTAACATGTGAACAGAGTACTTTTTCCCTAGAAAATTCAATGAAACTTCAACCTTCATAAAATTAAGCAAAAAAGTGACACTTCCAAAACAAGCTCCCTTGAAAATGACAGTTCTTCATACACTCAATATTTCCTCCACTCTTAACCAGTCAAACTACTAAAAAAACCCAGAAATTCTAAACTACACAAAAGTCTCAAACCCGCAAAAAAAAGAAAAATCTTCACTTTTTCAAGTACCTTCAAGGAAAAGCTTGTTACATTGTAGTCAAAGAGAAGAGATTGACAACTCAAAAAGTGAGAACCCTTGGGAGATTTTAGTGATCTTAAGTGGTTTGCAAGTAAAAAATGGATAGAGAAAGAAATGGATCTAAAAGAAAGCATTTTTGGAACTTTTTTACTTTTACAGAGAAAAAAAAGGTATTTTTGGTTGAGTTTGGAAAAGCTGCAATAAATTATATTTAATACTTCATTCTTTGTTTTATTGGATTTGAAGTGTTTTTGAAACCCACTGTGTGAAAAGTCAATCTTGATGTATTTGATGATCCCACGCCCCTTGTAAATGGAAGTTTTTTTTTTTAAGGATTGTAAATGGAAGTTTTTGTTTTTCTAGGGGCAGGACAAGTGATTCGTGGATTTCACTCGCTGGGATGAAGCGTGAGAAATTGTTCAAACTAGACAGATTGAGACAGTAAGAAGAAAGTGAGCAAAGAAGCTCGTTGGCTATGGCTTCTCCTAACTTTTTTTCTTACTTCATAGATACCGCTAGGTGCGAGAATTGCTATATAACTCACACCGCACTAAATCTTTTTTCTATTGGGCCCACCTTTTTCTTAAAAGATCAATTACGACCTAAAAAATGCTATTTAGATATGGAGGAGCCTATGTTGTTGCTTCCTGGGCTTCATTTTTTATATACTATTCGAACCATAAAAGGCTAGCCCAATTTTCGCGTAATAGGAAAAAGCTGTGTTCTTTTCAGTTGCCTCCGATTGACCTATAGAAAACCCAGCAGCGACCGCCGGTAGCCGGATCTGCACCTTCCCTGCTTAAAGTTCATCGTAAAATTTCCTAAAACTTGTATTGTAGCAATAAAGATTCAATTTTTATCATTCCCAAGTATTAACTTGATTGATTCTTGCTTTTATCTATTGGGTTTTCATTGTCATGTTGAATTGTGGTTTTTTTTTTGTTGCATTTTCCTGATGAAAATTGACTCTGCTTTTAGACTACATTCCAGGGAGAATTCTTGAGTTTTCTGTTTTGGGTATTTGTTGATGATTTGTTTATTATTTTAGAATAAATGGAGATGAACGTATGACACTTCATCTGAAGTTCTGTGGCCTTAGTTATGGGGTTTAGATCATGGAAAAAATATTTAGCTTTAAGTGAAGATGAAATCATCTACTATTGCTGTTGCTATTACTTGATGGAACTGTTTGAAATTCTTAGTTACAAAGAGGAAAACTTGCATTTAGTCTCGATTACTGAACTCGCAAGTTCTAATTATCAAATCGAATTCGATTTGCTTTGGAACAGTTACATTGCTGGACTTTTATGCTGTTACTTGTTAGTCTTAGTGCTTGGTCAGATTATATGATTGCCTCTTATACAACCTAGTGGTCACTAGATACACTGGTTCAGATTTCAGAGCATTGGTTTCGGGTTCTTATGTTTTGCTTTCTCCATATAACGAATGGAAACTTATGTTTTAAGCCTTTGTGATGTTGTTACTTGTTTCCTGGAGTTCATCTGACATGTAAGGGAGGTTCTTCTCAATTTCTTTTATTAGAATCAATCAAGAATGTTAGAGAGCCATAATTTGTTGAGTGGACCTGTATGTTAGAAAAATAACTACAATCGACTTTTGTTATGTTTTGGATAGGCAGCTATTATGATGTAGTCATAGCTACGAGTACATAAATTCCGAGTCCTAGTAACCCAGGCAGTTATACCAGATAGGATATTGTTTTGTTAGATGTATATTTTCTGTGACAATATTGATTAATTGGACGGCATACAGATATGATTCGCCATTCCTGTTTTTAAGTCCAATGTTGATTTCCTTTGGCTCTATGATGAAACTCGTTCGTTTCTTGTAGCGATTTGATTCTGTTTTTGCTGATATGTTCACTGGCTTAGCTTTGCCAGGAAAAATGGGGGGACTGCCCACACAAAATAGTTCTGCCTTAGCTTTGCCTGGCTTGCAGCAAAACCAGGAACCAGAAAAAGCAAAACTGGCTGCAGAATCGAAGCCGAAGAAGAAAATTTGCTGTGCTTGCCCCGAGACGAAGAAGCTGAGAGATGAATGCATCGTCGAGCACGGTGAAGAAGCTTGTGCAAAATGGATAGAGGCTCATCGTTTATGCCTCCGTGCAGAGGGCTTCAATATTTGAGATCGACACGAAGTTTATAGAATGAAAACATTTACAAAACCATTTAGAAATATATGAGCTGAAAAATCTAGGAAATAATGAAGAAAAAATGCATTTTCTTGGCTATTGGTGTTGGATCCATTTCTATCTTGTGAGGCTGTTTGGCCTTGTGGAATCTTTCGAAACTGACACAATACTATCGTTTGCCACTTATACTGGTTAATATTTTGATGAACAACAATGGAGAACAGATTCTTGTCTTGTTTAAGTCTTTATGTCTGGTCTGATTGTCTTAACCCTTGATTGATAAATAAAGCTACCATCTTTTAAAGCTTGAAAGGCTGCTTAATAATAGCATAATGTAAAGAAAATGTACCTAAACTGTAGTCTCCATTCTTTCTTTTTATCATTTTGATTCCTAATGTTTCATTTTAAGACTCTTAATATTTGACTTGAGTTTTATTTTGAAGTATTTGGGCAAAAAAAATACGTACTTCGAGGTGTTAATTGTTTATTAACTAATAATTTTCATCAATTGAGGGTCTTTTTGTTCAAAATAAAATGTTAGGGGTCAAAATATTCAGAAGAAAAGAAATAGAAGTCAAAATAATTATTTAGTTCAACGTTAAAGGGTATCTTTTACACTATGTTTTTAGTTATTTTATTTGGAGTTCCATCAAAGAAAGATTATATATATATATGGAGAGAGATTTATAATAATAATACTTCATTAAGCAAATAAGGCCATAGCCGATAGATCACAGTAAATAAGGAAATACAGACAGAAATGAAACATGCACGAACTACAACAGAAGACACAAATTACTCAACCCAAATTCATTATTTTTCTTTTAAGATCTTTCCATGATCTAAATGACCATTGCTCTATGTTTGCTTAATGGCCACATGTGCAGTTGGTGCAGCTGCAGTTAGCACCGCACTTGCAGTCGCCATCGTTCTCAGCTGGAGCATCCAGCAGAACAGTGTTGATGTAGCTGCAAATGAACAACACAACACATTATAATCACCATATTACATCGAAAATCTAAGTTCCTTAATTAATTCCCAGATTACAATTAAGATCGGATACCAAAAGTTTACCTCTTCTCGGTCTCGATGACGAAGGTGTTTCCCTTCTTCCTGCAGGCATACAAAAAGCACAAATGACCCTTAGTTTTGGTATCAAGCAATTTTCGACATAAAATAAACACCACGACATGTTGAATACTCATTAAGACATGGTCACAAGCAACACAACCCTAACAGCATGATGGATGAAATGGATTTACTTACGTGCACTGGGTGCTGTCGGAGCAGTCGCAGTTGCCGCACTTGTCGGACATGGTGAATGAGGGAAGTTTTTGAACGGGGAAAGCTTAAGAATGTGTGTTTTTAGTTGTTGAGGTTAGCTTGCAATGGATTTGCTATGTTCCCATGGAGATGTATTTATAGATGGGGAAGTGTACTGAAATAGTGCATACTGGTAATGTAAGGACCACACATGCATGATAGAAATGGAGAAAAATCCCAAAGGAATCTTTTTAATGGAGGGCATGACCTCCTATCCTCCTCTCATGTCCATGTCATTTCTCTTTTCTCAATATATATTCGAATAGACAAAATTAAAGTGACAGATTGTTCAATTTTTTTACATAAATATTGGTTTGTTTGGTTATTACATAGGGTGATTGGTCAATTTTTTTTTATAAATTTGAAGTAAATATAAGACGGTATTTGTTTAATGACTCTCAATTATTCAATAAAAACCTTTCATATCTTTGATATCTTGGATGCTCGAATAAATTAATTAAATTAATTAATTGTTTATTAACATCTGATCTCCTTTTTATCCCATTATCAAATAAATAAATAAAATTATTACCGGTATCCCTATTTCCGCACGTAAACGTTAGGCATAAAGAACATAAATATTGACCATCCAAATGTAAAGATATCTATATCCCTTTGAAAGGCTGACAGAGAATTTCTTTTTGGTCCATGTGCTTAAAAAGTTACACTAATCCTTTTATTCTTGATAAGATTTGTTCAGCTTCGAATTGGACTTCCATTCGGAGGCAAATACCTAATTGAATAAAGGAAGGGTTAGAATTTGAGTTATTATTCTAGAGTATTGTATTTATTTAGAATTTTTCTATTTCTAAAAGGACTAAAAAGAATTTTACCAATTTTGAGGACCAAGCCCTTGTCGGTCATACTTCAATTAGTGACCTCACCCGTCCGTAATTAAATGACTGTTGTTATCGGTTTCAAGTTTGAGTACGTTAATTGTATGACTGTATGGATATTTGTGTGGCTCCTTCGGTTCCAGTCTTTACTCAGGATCAGTACCATCAAATTTAAGAGCTTCTCAACAAGCTTTCTGTTGTCAATTTGGTTGGAGTTGATGGTAAGCATTCTGCACCTATTAGGTCTCTTACCTAGATTTTGGATTCTGGAGAAACTGATCATGTCATACCTGATTTTCAATTCTAGAATAATCATGTTGCTTGCACTTCGGGTGAACGCCTTCTTCATCTTCCCAATGGTAAAACAACATCTATCACTCATGAGGTTTCTGTTTCTTTAGATTCCTACTCATGAGTTACAACAAGTTTTATATGTCCTTCATTTCACTCACAATATGCTGTCTGTGTCCAAACTACAAAGATTTTCATTGCTCAGTTATTTTTTATTCTAATTTTTGCCTTTTCCAGGATCTTTCCGATGGAAGGATCAAGGGGATTGGTAGGGCTGTTTGTGAGCTTTATTTGTTTGAGTCCTTTGTTTCAACTTCTGCATTGAATTCTTGTTCATCTGTACCTGTTAATTCTGCTTGTATGTCTTCTTGTTCTGTTAAAAAAACAACTACTTGGCATGCTCGATTGAGGCATGCTACTATTACCAAAATGCATAAATTGCCTATGTTCTCTGATTCTCAACTTGATAAAACATGTGTGCATGATTGTACTGTTTGTCCCCAAGCTAAACAACATAGGTTGCCTTTTCCTTCTAGTTTGTCTAGATTTGATAAACCTTTTCATCTTATACACATTGACTTATGGGGCCCTTATAGAGTGTTTACTCATTCTGGTCATGGGTTTTTTCTCACAATAGTAGATGATCACACTAGAATGACTTGGATTTGCTTGCTGAAACTTAAATCTGATATTATTATTAATCTCAAGTCCTTTTTTACTTACATCAACACTCATTTTTCTGCCAAAGTGCATACTATTAGAAGTGATAATGGTTCAGAATTCTTCAATGTTGAATGTTCTGCTCTTTTTAGCTCTTTCGGTATTATTCATCAAACATCATGTGTCAAAACACCCCAGCAAAACGGTATTGGAGAAAGAAAACATAAGCATTTACTTGCTAGAGCCCTTAAGTTCCATTCTCATGTACCTGTCAAATTTTAGGGAGATTGTGTTAAGACTGCTTGTCATATTATCAACAGATTACCATCCTCTGTGTTAAACTGTAATTGAAGTTCTTTTTCACAAAATTCCTGATTTATCCTAATTTAGAACTTTTAGTTGTCTTGTTATGCTATAATTCCTAATGAGACTGATAAATTTTCACCAAGAGGAGCTTCCCCTTCTGTTTTTTTGGGATACTCCTCTACCCAAAAAGGTTATACCCTTTTAAGTTTGATTACACATAAAATCTTTGTTAATCGGGATTTCTTGTTTCATGAGAATATATTTCCATTTCAATTTCCTATCTCTAAGTCTTCTCCTTTCTTTCCTACCTCCACTTTTGTTCCTGATGTTGATTTTTTAGTAGTTCACAATCCTGCTACTATTTTCCCTTCTGATTATATGGCAACAGTTAATTCCCCTCTTTCAGCAAGTGATTTTGATCAAGACATGTGTGTGTCTTCTGTTCCTACTTCCTCATCTGCTGATTCTTTTGATACTGTTCCTTTGGTGGTTCCTAGAAAGTCTTCTAGAACTTCTCATCCTCCTTGTTGGTTAAAAGATTTTGTGTGTTCTTCTCAGTCCATTCCTTTTAATTCCTCCATACTTACTTATGATCATTTTCCTTATAAGACTCAGATTTTTCTTAATTCCACTTCTATCATTGAACCAAAAACTTATGCTGAAGCTAGTCAAAATCCTGCCTTGGTTAAAGCAATGTAAGAGGAAATTCAGGCTTTGGAGTCTAATAAGACATGGTTAGTTGTTCCTCTACCTACTGGGAAGATTTCTATTGGCTGCAAATGGGTGATTTGGGTGAAATATACTGCTTCTTGGTAGGTGGAAAGATATAAAACTAGGTTGGTTTCTAAGGGGTACAATCAACAATATGGTGTTGACTATTGGATACCTTTTCTCCTGTGGTCAAGATGGTCACAGTTCGAACTATTCTTGCTCTTGCCTCCCATCATGCTTGGCCCATTTTTCAAATGGATATGTTTAATGTTTTCCTCCAAGGTGATTTGATGAGGAAGTTTATATGGCATTACCTGAAGGTTTTTCTAGTCAGGGAGAGCGAATGGTATGTAGACTACAAAAGTCCTTATATGGCCTAAAGCATGCTTCAAGACATGGAATGCGAAGCTGTCAGAGGGCTCTGTTAGCTACTGGTTATGTTCAAAGCAAGCTAGAATACTCATTATTCACTAGAAAATAAGGAAGCAACATTGTAATCTTTTTAGTATATGTTGATGACCTGCTAATAGTAAGCAGATTAATTGCTGAATTAAAGGAGAATTTGAACAAGAATTTCAGATGAAGGATTTGGGAGATTTGAATTTTTTCCTTGGTTTGGAAGTAATGAGATCATAAGAAGGGATTCTTTTGAACCAGAGGAAATATGCTTTGGAGTTAATAGATAATACTGGTTTTGGGAAAGGCTAAATGTGCTTTGACACCATTAGAACAAAATGGAGTTCGGATAAATCGCTTCGCCTCGACACCTTGTGTCCGAATCCAACCTCCATTTTGTCGAAACTTGATCTAATGTACACGAATTTGAGATTAAAAGCGAGGAAACCAAAACGTTTCAGTTCAATTTTACGAGTTTTTGGACATTTTCATGTGAAACAACTACTAGATTCGGACTCAAGGGGTCGAGACGAACGACCCATTCCCATTTTGGGACCGAACAACAAGCATATGCGACGGTCGACGGTGACCGGAATGAAAATGACGTGATGACGGCGGAGAGAAAATAAAGAAGAGAAGGAAAAATGGTAAATTGCACCATAAGTCATGACTTTACTTTCCTCTATTTTACTCACCGAAACGACGTCGTTTTGGAGTATATTTGAGTTTTTCAAAACGATTTCGTTTTGATGCCTGTGCCACATCATAACGCCGTTAAATATTTAATGGCATAGTGAGCAAAAAGATTTAATTGTAAAGTTCAGTTAGCAAATTGATCAAATTGAAAGTTGGGTGAGAAAAATAGGAGAGAGAGTAAAGTTCAGTGAGAATAATATAATTTACCCTCTTTGTTTTTAAACGGTCCGTATTTAAAATAGTAAAAGGAATGGTTGAGTTGAGGAGAATACAAAATTTACAAGTGATTAATTCCAAGAAGAAGAAAACGAACTATACTTTAAAAACTTCAAAGCCTCGATGATTTTTGCGTCTCCCTTTACTCGAGAACACAAGAAGTATCATTTCTTACTTCTCCTTTCACTTATTTACACAACCAACAAGAAAAGAAGAACAATAATGGCCTAAGCTTTGCACCGATTTGGAAGATGGGCGTGCATGCTCTGCTGTTATAATGCAAATCAGGTCAGGGTATGCCCTATCAGAATCTGCCTTCAAAATTACCTAAAATTTCACTGTTTTCTTTGCATTGCCAATCATTTTACCTAGAGACAATTGCTCCTGCTGATTCCAGTTCACTTTGATTTCTTTTGCTCCCATCAGAATTTGCCTCTTTGTTGCTAGTTATATATTGATTAACAACCAACGGGTTGTTTCAAGTGGTATGCAGTTTGATATCATTTAAGAAGGTCTCGAGTTCGAGTCCTTATGTATGTAGAAAATTCCCGTTGGGAGATTCACCCACCAAAATCAGATGTATAATCCGGATCGGTCTGAATTAGTTATAGCAAAACCTTAGGAACTACTACTAGGAGGTCAACCAAAAAAATATATCGATTAAGAATTAAAAATTTAGGTATAAATTCATGTTCGAATCAGTCTTAAATTTGAATTTTTTGGTTCAAGCCATATTGGAATCGAGCTTTTTCGTGTTCTAAGTTTTTCAAGTTTGATCCTTTCGATTTTGATTTTTGGTTCAAATTTAAACTTTTAAATTTATTATCAAATGGTTAATTTGTTTCCTCAAATATATATATATATTTATTTTACTAAAAGTTATGGCATTGAAGATGAAATTTATATCTATATCTCACAGCTGTCTATATTTATTTTCAATTAAAACTCGGTCCAAGATGCCAATTGACTTGCAATTGCTCAAGGAAAAGGCTTTGTCTAGTGCCCTAGCAAAAGTAGACGTGGGATACACTGTCCTTGCTGAATAAAACTACTTACTATTTTGTTGTTAAAAACCATGGTGATAATAATTATAGATTTATCTAATATATTTCAAATCTTAAGTAGTGACAATTCATACTTATCATATTTTGTAAAAATTTATTTATAATACTTATCTAATATATTTGGATGTATTATATGGTTAGTCACCCAAATTTTATATGTTTCTGTTTTGATCATCAAACTTACAAATTTTATTTTTATCATAATTTTTTTTTTTGAATTGTGCAAATTTAGGTCACTTGTAAGTTAAAATGTAAGCCCAAAACATTGTTTTTAGAGCTTTTTCGACCTAAAATTTTATCATTCTTTAAGAAAATTTAACATTGTTCTAATGAATGAAGAAGAGGAACGGTTGATGAAGACGAAGAAAAATTTTGGTGAAAATTGAGTAGTCTAACGGTTTTACTTTTCGCTAACCAGACAAAATAGGATGTGCTTGCTCAACATTGCTAGTCTAGGTTGTTAGCAGTTTTTTTCATTAAGCTAATATGATTACAAAATAGTATGTTCTAAATATTTTAAATCATTTGATAATAAACGTCCATTCACCTACCTTAAACTTGACTAGTTCACCCTAAAACAAGTCTAAAACCAAACAATTTTTTATCTTGTGTATGCATTTACAAATTTAATTTTTTAAAAGGTAAAAATGCATCAGAGGTCCTTATACTTTAAAAAACTAATGTGACCCTCATATTATTTTTTTCTTTCAATGTGACCCTCCAACTCAGAAAATAAACTTAATATGGCCCTTTGACCAACGTTTTTCGTTGTTAACTGTTACGGATATTACGTGTCAATTCACTGTACTGACGTGGCAGTCCACGGTGATTGATAATGTGGCATATGACATTATAGATGGGTTAAATTGATAACTCAAACATGACAGATGGATTGTCACGTCAACAATGTAAACTGTCATGTTAGCACTGTGAACTGTCAAGTCAATACTGTAACGGTCAATGGCGTAAAATTTTAAATAAAGAGTCACATTAAAATTGTTTTCTGAATTAGAGAATTACGTTAAAAAAATAATATGATGATGGCATTAATTTTTTATTTCAAAAATACAGTGAAATCTAATGCTTTTTGCCGATTGGCAGTGGAAAACCTGTCATACAATCTTGGTCTTGGAGAAACTCAAACTTTTAATGCTACATGTACGTACATATATATCAATTTGGTACCACAGGTATAGCAAGTGCTATTTATTATTAAAGTTTACTATTGAATATAGTTTCTCATAAAGAAACACTAGCTTGTTTCTTTTTTGACTCGCAGATCTTTGCCGACATGTACCAAATATATTAAGAACTCTGTACTGCCTATATTAATTATTGTCTTTTTTAAATAAAAGTGTCAATTCTTTAATATTAAGAAAATAAAAGGTTGTTGAGTTAAAGAATTGTCTAAAATTTGAAAATTTTAATGTTGCATGCTCAAATTAAAATATAAATAAAATGTTATTATAGGAGAGTATTATTGTAATTATATTTATTTAAGAATAAATTATTTGTTTGATTTAACAAATTTAACATATATCAAAATGATTTTAGATAGAATTTCATTAATTGAGCAAGTGCTCAAGGATATTAATTAGGCCATTAAACGAACCAAATGTTAAACGAACCGTTCGGCAGGAAGTTTGTTTATGTTTGTTTATTTATAAAACGAACAAACATGAACAAGATTTTATGTTTGTTTATTTAAATGAAAGAACAAGAACAAATTGATAGTTCATTCATTTACGCTCGTGAATGTTCGATAATTCGTTCGTTTATATTCATCCAATCTCTAGACTCGTTTAAAATATTAAGACCTAATAAATTTTAAACTTAAACTTATGAATATTTCAAAACTCAATTAATTTTAAACCAAAATAAAAATACTCAAATCAATTAAAGAAAACATAAATCCTAAAATTATTTGGAAAGAAAAAAATTCTTCTCAAATATAAATCCAATTAATTTTATTTTTGTACGTTTATGTCCATTCGTTTGTGTTCGTTTACGTTCGTTCATTTATGTTCGTTTATCATTTTAACGAAAGAACAAGAATAAATTAAATTTCTTAATGAACAAATATGAACAAGAAATTTCGTTCGTTAGTTGTTCGTATTTTTTAGGTTAAAATTAAAAGAACGAACATGAATATACCCTCGTTCGTGTTCGTTCGGTTCATTTTTAGGCCTAATATTTATAATGTCTCATTTCGTATGGGTTCAAAACCCTAATATTTATCTTGAAAACATAACACTTGATAAAAAAACAATAATTTTAGATAAATGTATTATAACATTAATTATGATAAATTATGTTAAATTATATATAAATATATAGATCAATAAATGAAAAATTATTTAAAAAACAAGTGAGAAATTACCATAATAAGAAAAATACCAATATAGACTCTAACATGAGACTCAGCTCTCGTGTGATGGAGAAACTCCCATTGGGGGTCTTTGAATTATTTTAAAATTTTTAATTATTTTAAAATTTTTAATTATTTTTATATTATAATTATTAAGTTAACAATTAATGGTTAAATTAAAGGATCAATTTTTTTTTTATTAATTTAGGTAAGTACAAGACAATAACCGTTTTAAGATAACACTCAATTATTTGATATTAAAAACTCACACCCTGACATTTATGGTGCTCAAACTCGGGACTTCAAGAAACAATAACAATTCATTTACTATTGAGATCACTTGATTTGTTCAAAGGATCAACATCCTTAAATAAAAACACAAAAAAATTATGTTTCAAAATTACAATATAAAAAATTAAAACCTTTAATTTATGAATGGATTTATATTTATACATATACAATTAATAAAATATAATATTATTATCAATAAAATTCATTTATTAATTCCAATGATAAAAAGGAGTTACGTTCTTTGAAATTTTGAGTTTGAATAGTTATGTAGGTTGAATTATCAATAATTAAGAAATTTTTTTGAATAGATATTATATTGTAATCAGTGATAACCTTAATCAAACATCCGAACATAGAACTCAAGGCTCTTAACCTTGTGGTCGTAGGATCGAGTCCCACGATGTACAATTCATAATTCTGACTGTCAGAGGTCTTCAACTGAAACTGCTCTCAACCTGGCGTTGGGGCCAGCCTACTACCTTACCTCTCTGTCACCCCTAATAACTTTTTTTAAAAAAACCCACCACTTTTCACTTAAAAAGACTAATTTCTAAATAAATAAAAAATTAGTCCCCACACTTCCATTTTTTATAATTTTATCCAAAAATTAGAAGAAAAAAACCTTTGTCAAAATTAACCTCAACTGCTAACAACTTTATCAAAGATATACTCAATTACCAACAATTTTACATATTATTATAATATTCACTTTATATTCATAAATAATTTTTTATAAGCTCACATCACAGCACACTTTTAGAACACATTTATCAGCACCGGATAAGTCACTTTCATCCAAGCAACAAAGCAAACACTAAAATTAAGTTAATAATAATAAAAGTAGTAACAGTCTTGCAAAACATGATAATGAAACATAAGCCCCTGATGAAGAGAAAATTCCATGCACCATAAATGGGAAATTCCTCTCATGTTCAGTAAGTCCACATGCAATCAAGCTCAGTTGGACCGATTGACATCTTGCTAATGCCACCATTAGAACCATCGTTAACATTATTGGAAACAGCCCCCCAGTCGACAGATGTGCCACCGTGAAGTGGCGGTGCCGCCATCGTTGGGTGAGAGAAATAGAAAGGGAGCTGCAAGTTCTCCTCAAGAGACCTCAAGGTTGGAAAAACGGCAGCACCCACATTTCTTGAATACCAAGGATCAAAAGTGGTGTTAATCATTTGTGGTGGTGGTAATCCTAGGTCGAAACCGGGCTGAAACCCCGAAGGGTCGGTTATGGTGGTGGCGGTGGTGGAGAAACAGGACACGTGCTCGGATTGAGCATAATTGTAGTAACAGAAACTATCGCAGTCGGCGGCGGCAATGGCAGTGGCGGCATGATCCAGGAGAGGAGGAAGGGACACTGATGAAGGAGAGCTCGGTTCTTGGTAAAGAGCGACGGAGCCGCTCATCCGAGTCTTCTTGGCTCCTCCGCCGGTGCTGCTGGTGGCACCATTGGCAGTGCCACTCTTGTGGAACACCCTGGATATCACCCATTCGTCCTGCAATAATAGAAAAACCTAGCATTTTAGCAAAATATGAACACTTTACTTTCAAATCCAAGTAATTGAAGGTCATTAAAACAAAGAAACAAAAGACAATATCAACTCGTTGATGTCCCGAGTTCGTCGTTCTAGGAGAATTCTTAACTCTTGCATAAATTGTGGGTATTTAAATCCCAAAACAAAGAGACAGAAGCCTTTGAAATGTCTGAAAGGCAGCGCAAATGGCATTAAGATTGCCCGACATACCATTTTCAGCTCCATAAATGAAACAACAGCGTACGGAAAACATTAATACTTTTGTTTTTTTAGGCTTAATTTCCAAGTAAATGCCCAAACTATCCCTTTTTGCCAAATAAGTAACTACGGGTTTATTTTTTTCCCATCCGGTGTTGATTACTATTTTAGGTGTTTAAGTCGTCAACGCCGTTAGTTTACTTCTTAAGTAACAAGTATCAACACCTGATAATTTTAAAAAATTTATATAAAATTTTAAAGATAAAATTATATATTTTTAAAAAATAAAAAAAAAATAAAAATAAACCATAAACTTTGAAAACATTCATTTCAACTACTAATCCAACGTAGATGGCCATCGCCACCCTTTACCGTCGAATAAACTCCACTTGGCCTATCCTCCCCAACAACCATAACCCCTATGAAATCATGATCGATGGACGATCAATCGACCACAAATCAACGTTTTACATCTCATAAACCCTAGAATAAAAATCGTGATCCCACACGAACTATTAATAGACGACAATTAAAACGACATATAACTAGAATGATGTCAAAGAACACATCGGCAATGGCAATGATGGCCGGAGAAGGCGCCGACGATAAATTAAGATTAGGGTTTAATATTTTGGGCTTACTACAAACCAGGCGCCATTGAAGGACACAAAAAGAAACCTAAAGTAATTAAAAAAACATACCTTTGAGCTCCTGGAGAGATGATGGTAAGCAAATTTGCCTTCAAGGCGATATTCATGCATGACCCAGTTGCTCTTTTCACCTTTAGGAGCTCTACCTCTATAAAAAACCAAGGTCTTCTTCATTCCAACAAGTGCACAAGTCTTTGAACTGTAAATCTCCCTATCTTTCCCAGTGGCTTTCCAGTAACCAGCTTCAGTTGCTCGGTTAGTTCTCAACCCAGTTGGGTACTTCCTATCTCTCAAACTGAAGAAATACCACTCTTTCTCTCCCATCTTTGCCTTGCCTGCCACGTTACATGACCAAAATGTAACAAACAAAAGAACAGTGGTAAAAAAATTAAAAATATGTTAAAAATATCACTCTCAACTCACTAGGAAGCTCCCATGGCTCGGACTTGTTGAGATCAACCTCAGCTATAGCTCTACAAGTAAAGCCACTGTCAATAACTTTCTTCAACAAATAGTAAGTGATAAGCTCCTCATCCGTTGGATGGAAACGAAATCCAGGAGGCAAATGAGCATCATTTCTGTCAAAACGATGGTCCATATCAAACAAAACCCTAAACTTCAAAAACCAAACTTTGGCGTCACCATAACACAACAGATAGAGTGAAAAAAAGATTGAAAACTTATATGTAAAATATAAGAAAAAAGATCGCAGGGAATGGGGTGTGTTTACAGAGGTGGCTTCTGCAGTTGAGGATGCGTGCGTGTGTGAGAAAGTGTGCAGGTATTCTCTGTTAGTGAAGAAAATGAAAAGGAGGGAGCAGAAAGTAGGTTTATTGAGAAAGGAAAAGGAAGTATTTTTGCCTATTTTTATAAGAGAGAAGGGAAAGGGGCAGAGATATTCACCATGTAAATTGTAAATAAATAATTTGTACAGATAAAGCTGTTTCATATCTCTTCATGTCAGCACAGTACAATAATAAATTATATCAATTTCCCCGCCCACACCATCGTAATCACACGCTACCTTTTGTTAGACGTAAAAATTGCATTATTTTTTTAAGTGTAAGCCATGCTTCTTAGTGTCTCAATTATCATTTTATTTTAATCATTTAATTATCATTTTCTAAAATTAAATTTAAAGTTATGTTTCGATTTCATTTCGATCGCTCGTCGTTAAAAATAGTAATAAAAGTGTTAACGTGATATTTTAAACAAATATTCAATGATGATGTGTCATACGTCATATTAACGATGAATATCAAAATAAAATCAAAACGCAACGTTAGATATGATTTTAGAACAAAAATAGTTGGATGAAGGAAAGAAAATAAAAATTATAGTTGAGGTACTAAATGTGTAGTTTTCCCTACTTTGTATACATTATATTAATTAAAGGGTAAATTATGTATTTAGTCACTCAACTATAAATTAATTTTTTTTAGTAACCTAATTATTTTTTTCAAAATTATCACTAAAGTTATGACGCGATATTACATTATAATAACACATCATATCACTGTCAATTTTTTTAACAAAATGTGACTAAAATGAAATTAAAATGTAATATTAGTGATGATTTTGAAAAAAGAAAAATTTATTGACCAAAACAAAACTGTGCTAATAGTTGGGTGACTTACATACGTAGTTTATCCTCAAATTTATTGAAGAAAATAGAGAGTTTTAACCTGTTTGTTTAAATTCAGTGATTGTTCTGTCTTTTATCTTTTTCATTTCTTCTATCCTGGTTTTGGTAAGCCCTAAACTGAGGGTTTCATTATTTTCACAGTGAGTAACTAAGCAAAAAGCAAGTTGCCTTAAGAGATTCTATCTTATTTTTTTACCTTTCGTTGCTTACTTTTTCTACTACCAAGTTGCCTAAAGTGATTATTGCATGCTATAAAAATTACTTTGGCATTTGTTATCTAAATAATATATATATTTTTATTTCATAAAATAATATTAAAAAAATATTTATAAGAATAACATTTCTTTCTAAAAGAATTAGCTGACCCTCATTCTCATATGTAATGGAATAAGGGGAAGGTAGGATAGTAAGCTGCCCCCAACGCCAGGTTAAGAGCAGTTTCCGTAGGAGACTTCCGAATTATAAAATGCCCTCCGTGGGACCCAATCCCACGACCCTAAGGTTAAGAGCTTTGTTGTCTACCAACGAGCTGGATGGTCATTTCAATAACATTTCTTTCTAATCTATTATAATCATGTGTTTACTTTATGTATTAAGATAGTGAGAGATGTATATGAATTGTACAATGAAATATCGTATTAAATATTTATATATATTTTAATAAAATGTACACACAAATAAACTTAATATATATTTTTATATTTATTTTTACACAAAAACATTTTTTAACTTGAAGCAGTTTGAAATTTTTGATATAAAATTACTCAGACATATAAAACTATCAAAGTGTGATGACTTTGATAGGAATTTTAAGAATCTTAAGAAAGAAAGGATTGTAGAGAAAAGAGAGAATATTAAGATAACAGAAAAAAAAAAAAGATTCATTTTCCTAATTCCCTATATTTCTTCCCCAAAATCCTTAATGTCTTTCCAATTCCCAATTCCTCTTCTACCAACCCTAAATCTGTTGGTTGGTTTGCATCGCAACATTCAACTAGACAGCATGAATCAATTCGTCGTCGGCTCTCCATATACCACTCAACGGAAGTTCAGTCCAAGTCATGTTGCAATTTGTAGAGTCCTGACCGACTAGGAGATGTGCTGCCTCGACGGAGTAAGGAAGGCGAGGGATTAGTCCCGCAGGTAACGAAAGAGTGATCAAGTGACTTGTAGTGGATGGGGGCAAGAGACGAAAGGTGGGAGATTCGCATGACAGGGTTCCTGGGAATTCTGTCTAAATCACCAATATTTTCAAAATTCAACAAGCGACTGAAACACAAGTACTATTAAAAACATGTCTACACTCTAATTTTTCCAAGAGATAATGTTGCATGTGTATAGTTCACGATGACACGTTTAATATCTAGTAACTCAGCGTAATGCTGCAGAAGAGGCATTACATTTAATCAAGGATTTATAATTAATTCAGTGTAAAAAGCAGACAAAATGCGACAATACTTGATTTTAACAAGATGATTACCTGAAGAGCTCGTACATACAAACCAGCTTACGATCATAATGACTGAACATTCCATTGGCTAAAATGGCTTCAAAACCAACCACCTCTCTGAAGGATCACATTTATTGTTTATTATCTGATTGTTCACTGAACTAGCTGTCCTCTCAAATATCTTAACAGGCTCAGAATCACCTGCTGGGGGAGTAAGACACATAACACCAAAGAAATTTTATTCCATAGATAAAAGAACAACTCAAAAAAGATAACAATTATAGAACTGCATAAAGCACAGCTGTCTGTGATACTAGATAGTTAACAGAAGAACATCTAACCTTCAATTGACCAATGATACACGGAGGTTTGTGTGACCAGGCCAAGCATTTTTGGGCTAATCCATTTCCAAAATACAACCTAGGCATGAACCAACAACAGTTTGCTATGCTAATGCAACCGAGTTCACTATCAACCATCGTTGTGGAACAACGAATGTTGAGAGAAATTAATAGAAAATGGAACCATTACAAGAAAAAATTAAAAAAAAAAATGAGACGGCAGATAAGTTTCACCTGTTCAGGCATCTGTTGTGTATTTCATTTTTGCTTTCATCTCTATGTTAAATATTTGCAGCTTTAAAACGTTCCCCGTAGTTGAGTTATAAAAGCAATGCCAAAGCAAATGAGTTTAAAGAAATCAATAAAGAACAAAAATTAAAGGATACAAAATTAATATTAGTGAACTTTTTCTCCTATTAAAAATACTATCTTTACAAGTATGCCAAGCACATCATGACTAGGAGATGTGCTGCCTTAAAATATGGTATTTGCTAATTGACTTGTTCCGGACTGCTGGAGCAGAGAAAGATGTGCACTGGATAAATAACACACGGTTATTCAAATCATTTTCATAATCATAACCCATCTTTGAAAAGTTAAGATTAAGCGTGAAATGGAGAGTACTGAAGTTAGTGATGAATCTGTTGTAATGTTAGACACAGCAAGGGCTGCAGAGCAAGCAGCATTGATGAACCTTGAGTATCTAAGGAAGGAAGCCGATATGAATAGCCGAAAAGCAACTAGGGAGATCGAAGATCTCATTTCAACAGAAGTAGCAAACAGAATTGAGGAGACTGAAACTGCAAGCAGATAAATGGTGACGGCAATTGACCTTTCTCAATTGGAAGAACAAAATAGAAAGAAACCAAGCCTTCATTCAATCCTCATATTCCTGAACTTCCCTGAACTATGGTTCTCTCGAGTTATTTAGAGCTCTCTTCGTTGTCGAAGAGCTTCCTCCCGCTGGTATTATCTGCAACAATAACTGTTGAAAAATAAACAAGTGGCCAAGCCACTTTCGGTGGCAGCCATCAATTTTGTCAAAAAGGTTGGTTATTTGTTGAAAATCAATAATGGTAAAATCTCAATTTTAGTTATTGTAATTTAGAGTATTTATAAATTAGTCCTTAAGCTTCAACTATAAATACCTTAGTTCATTTAGCTTCAAAACCATCCCAAAAACATTCTAGCTTTCTTCTAATAATAGAGAGAATTTAGAGAGTTTCTTGAGAGTTGTTCTCCTTTTTATCAAGAGAGAATTATCATTGTTTTCTCCTTGGTAGATCGAGAGAGATTGTAATTCCTATTTTTCTCATAGTAAAATTCTTCTATCGTTGCCCGTGGTTTTTTTACCCTATATTATTTAGGGGTTTTCCACGTAAATTTTGTGTCTCTTTTATCTTCAATTTTTATTTTCTCAAATTATCAGTTGCATTTTTGCTCTATCCGATAGCCGTCTTCGGCAACAATAACCATGAAAACTACAATAGAATTCCAGTTCATTCAATAGATAAAGTATTCTCAGATCAATTTCAGAATAAGTTTGTCTCTAATATCCAACATTCCCTGTCTTTTATGCCTATTTATACATCATATGATCCTTATAGACCATTGGTTTCCTTGTACGAGTGGGTCTGCGGTTAGCCTGTGGTAATTCAACACCCTCTGAATCTTGGTTGATCGGTGTCTCTTCTGCTGCTCTCGTATTACGGCCACCACAGCCATTAGGAGGAGCTTTTTCTAGTTGAACCGAGTGAAGATCATTGCCAATTTTCAGGAGAACAGAAAATTTGAACCAAGAAACATCTGCAAGCCGAAAGAAAACTGACGTACTTTTCGCGTCAAAATAATTATTATTCTCAATTAATAAATAAAAAAAATTTAACGTAGTAAAAGAGAAATAAGGATTGATCTCACATAGATTAAGGAAACTTCCTGATTTATTCGTACTTTGTTTAATATTTGAGCCAAAAAGTTGATGAAATATAATTTGAGTAAGGGTAAAAAGATTTAAAAAAAAGATTAAAAAGAAATTTAAAAAGAAAGTTTAAAAGAAAATCCAATATGGTAAAATCAACCTTAGACTTTTGTTTTGACATAATTTCCTTCGGATCATCGAATTAGATTTTTCCTTCAAGATTCATGTCAGTTATTTTGTCTACAAGGACACTTATCGTGGCTCTTCTTTGTATACAGAATACCCAATGCAATATTTGTTTCCGGCTTCGGAAATTGATATGATCAACATAAATTGTCTTAGATCAATAACCGTTTAAGTTCGTGAAGACCGACTCGGATTTTTGTTTCAATAACTACTAATTTCGATCTCAATTCCCTCTTAACAAGACAATCTTATCAAGTGTGTTCCCAAGAAGTCGAATGTGCTTTTAATAAGCCGATTCTTCCTCCCACACATTTAATCGCAACATCTTGAACAAAGTCAATCTTTGATTTTGAAAATTGTTTTGATTTTGAAAATAAGCGCAGCGATTGAGAGAGATATTCCAAAGTTATTCAAGTGCTTTTCAATTCTCATATTAGAATTGAGTCATCACATTAACCCTCGGCTTGAAGGAAAATTATAGAAAACGAAAATAGAAGAAAATAAATTTTATTAAACCAATGAAATAAAGAAAGGACGAATCAATTAGGCTTACCCCAAGGGGTATTTATAGCCTTCTAAAAACCCTAAGAATATGATGAAAAATAAAAGATAATTGTTTAAACTTAAATCCTAAAAGATAATTCATAAACTTGAATTTAAAATGTTTAAAATGCCCCATTGTCCATCCACCTTCTAGAATTGCTGATTGGACGCTACTGACTGTACTTTTTTGAAGTTGCTGACTCATTGCCACGTCAACATTTAATGCCTAAATTCATGCTCATTGTTCCATCCTTGATTCCAAAATAAAAAGTGTAATTTTCAGGCCTTTTAAGCATATTTTCCAGAAATTATTGCCCTGCACTAAACATAACTTTTGCATGTTTCGTTCTATGCTTTGAATTATGTTATGCGTTTGTTTTAGTCACAGCGTGCTTGTTATCTATTTTTGGAAAAACACTTATTGTGATTGCTAATCCTTGGTTTAATGCATTTTAGTCCCTAGTTGCTTTTGATCTATGCATTGGTTTAATTTATGATTTTAATTAACAATTTGTGTTTCAGTTCATTTTAATCCTTTATGCTCTCTGAATTAAAATATATGTTCATTCATGATCCTTTATATTTTTAGTTTTTACTTTAATCATTGTATTATTTTTAAATATGAGGTTACATGATTTATTATACAATTAGGTATTATTATTTTGTTCTTTTTGTGATTTAGTACTACTTTTATTTTATTTTAATTTTTATCATTCTTTTAAAAGATAAATAACTTGATCAATCACAATTTTATTTAATACCTTTCCATTTTTTTTTACAAATGTACGTGATTTTAAATGTTAGGTACCTTAGGTTGTGTCATATTATATTATATATATAATTTGTTTAATACTTCTCAACTGTGTATATTCATATGCTAATCTTCTTATGTTGTTTGATTTATGGATTATGTTTGTCAATCTTGTGTGTATTTCTTATTTGATATTAATATATTTTTAGTAGTTTTCTTGAATTTTTTTGAGAACATTGATCGTAGAATGGGTACGAAAAACACTGCTTAACGGTAGTGGTAAGATTCAAAGTGACATTCTAACGAAATATGAACTCAAAATAAATCGAATATATTTTATAAAATTAAGGATCATTAATTTGTTTCATTAAATGTCAACACATATATTTCTAAAATGGTAAAATTATTTTATGTAATTATTAGTATTAGTGTATATTAATGTTTTTGATAAATTGGAGAGGAAATATTCTTTTATAAGTAAGAAGTGGATAGGGTAGCATTCCTGACGGAGGATGTGTAAATCCTAAGACTTCTCTTCAAAATAAAAGAATTTTTTCCAAACAATTAATTAAACTTGGTAAATGGATCATATTCTCACTTTATATTCGATTTCATAATTTTACTTCATCGACAATGTATAAGCGATTTGATACTAATTTTGGGCGCAGTGGTGGTGATTTTTCTTCCCTACGTGTAACCGACTCTCAGACCCTTTAAATTGAGTTTTTGGTAAACGTGGACCTATTTATGTCCTTTAAATATTTTTTAAATATTTTAAAATGTGTTTTTAGGTATTCGTCCTACCTAACCTAAATATCGATGACGACTCTAAGGCAAATTAAGTAATTTTAAATAATAAGTCGTAAACGAACTTTCTTTAAAAGCATAAAAAAATTTAAAATAAAAAGGACGTTATGACATAATTAATACAACTCGCATCCATCAAAGTTTCACTTAAACATGAGCATGAAAACACTGTCAACAGAGCTGCCTTGGACTTTTCAGAATTATGAACGAAAAACTCAAAAATAGACCATTATAAAACAGAGCTGTCTGAAATCGTGACCGAATTGATCATGAACGACATCCTTCGAATAGGGAAGGTGAATGTGATAGGAGATGTTATTCTATTTCTTGGATAGTTGTGTGTCAGCCACTCAAGTGCCGTTTTCGGTTTCCTAATGTTGGACACCCACAAGTATCGAGCTGCTCGTGACAAAACATCCTCCCCATTGCTTCCGGTCCTGGTATGTTATCGATTCCGTCTTATCGCAAGTCTTTTAACAGGCGAGGGGTTGAATTTTGTAAATGCCATGCACCATGAGCGAGCAAACATAATGAAGCTCTGATTTCCGATGGTGAGAAATCACTTTTTGCTGCTTGTAGAATCCTAAAATTATGCTGATAACATATGGTACATCGATTCTTCATTTTTCTCGAAGTACTTCTATCCGAAACTCATGTTGAAGCTATTCTGTATACGGTGCTTGGAATTATTGTACGCAGTGTTCAAAGTTTCTCAAAGGAGGTATGATTGAGTTAAATAAAAGTAATTAAAATACAGTTTGAATTCATCAAAGTTTCGCTTATAGAGAAATAAAAAGCACTCCTAATGTTACAGACTCAACTGCTCCGTTTGATCCTCCTTTTACCTTCTATACAACACGAAGGGGTCCAAAAGAGACTTGGGTTGGGGACCATCCCATTCCACTGATTCACACCAATCCTTTGGTTCTTTTAAATTTCGGACAATTTAGTATAGAAATACATCCTAGAGAACCACAAACCACCACTCCCTCCATACGCCAAATGCTCTTCAATTCCAGTAGATCCCTCAACCTCGATAACCATAACTGTCGGAGATGAAATTCGGTGATAACCATTCCTGTTTCTGATGCTATTATTTCCTCCAATTGCGTACACGCTGCAACACTAAGCTCTTGTAAATTTAGCGGCACGCACTTTGGAGAGAACAACTTGTTCATATTTCTACAATCGGATATCTGAAGAGATTTAAGAGATGAAAAGGAGGCAAGCAAGAAGAGGATAAACCTGGAGAAAAACAGGTGTTCTTCACTACAATCAACATTGCAATCCTCAATATGCAGTCTCTCGATGTCACGTGGAAGCACAATCAGGCAGATGTTACAACGGCTTACGGCAATTATTTTTCTTACATCATCAAACAACCTACGACATCCTTCATCTTCCACGTAGATTATGTACCGAAGAGGCTGTTCTCGGCCATGACAAGCTTGGAGATACATATTTAAGTTGTGCCAATGACAAAACCTCCCTTCAAGAGTTTCCAGTTTCTTCAATTCCCCATCCTCCTTTCCACTTATCAGAGTTTCGCCGACGTTCAAGTCTTGAAGGCAAGAAAGTCTTGGCAGTATTCCATTTAGGATCTCACTCAGGGAATAGCAATATTCTAAATTTAGGCAAGTTCTTTAAAACTCCAAGATTTGACGACGATGAAACATTCCCTAAATCTTCACAATGAGCTAGCAATAATGAATTGAGATTCTTCAAATTTGATAAGGAATGTGGAAGACTCTTGATAGGATTTCTGAAAAGCTCAAGAATCTTGAGTGCATCCATATGCTTGAAGAACTCTTCTGGAATGGTCACTATATCACAATCAGACAACAACAAAGTTGTGAGCATCAAACAGTTTGATAAGGAGTTTGGGAGATTCTTCATGGGATTCCTAGAAAGATCAAGAACCTTAAGTGCATTCATATGCTTGAAAAAAGCCTCTGGAATACTCCCTATATAACAATCAGACAACAACAACGCTGTCAACTTGGAACACTTTGATAAAGAATTTGGAAGACTCTTGATAGAGTTTTTGGAAAGATCAAGAATTTTAAGTGCACCCATATGCTTGAAGAAACCTTCAGGAATACTCCCTATATCACAATCAGACAACAACAATGTTGTGAGCCTGGGACATTTTGGGACTGACATTTCCGAAGGTATATACAAGCTCCAATTGCTCATCAATGAAACTTTCTCTAAACCCTTGCTCCATTCTTCCACATCTGGTGCCTTTTCCAACATCATGCCAGCTTTTACCAAGAATCGAGATTTTGCAATATGTAATGCCATGTCCCTTAAAAGATCATGCATCTTTACACTTCTTTCATTTTCCGAATAAGTAAAAACTTCTAACAAACAGTTGCTGATGAGTCTGTTCATTATTGCTCGACCCCTGTCACACTCTGACTGCATGCTATCCATTTCTTCCACAAGCCCTTCTGCGATCCAAAGTTGAATAAGACCTTCCTCTTCAATTTCCCAATCTTCTGGATACAATGCACAACTGAGGAAACAGTCTTGAAGTTTTGGACCCTTTAAACGATCATAACTAAACTGTAATTGTTGGAAAACTTCCTCTTCAAATCCATTAACACTCTTTTTGTGAAGACTTAATTCTGTTAGTGCATTTCTCCATTCTGAAATGTCATCAATGCCCTTCATACAAGAAGCTATAGTAATTATTCCTAAAGGCAAACCAGCACAATGCTTAGCAATTGATCTTGCAATCGGTTCCACCCCTGGAATATAGAGAACATCACAACCCACCTTCTCCAAGAACAACTCCCATGCATCTTCTTCCGTCAGAGGCTCTACTTTAATTAATGTACAACCCACTTGTCGACATACATCAGATGATCTGGTTGTCAACACTAATTTACTCCCATTTGACTGCTCAGGGATTCCTATTCTCTCAAGGGAAACCTTCTCCCATAGGTCATCCAAGATTATCACAAACCTACTCTTCTGAGACAATGTTTCAAAGAGCATCCCTGCCCTTGTTGTTTCGTCTTCATCACCAGAAAATTGTACTCCAATTTTACTTGCAATGTCTTTCTGCAGTTTAGCAATACTCATCTCCTTGGATACAGTGATCCAATTCACAATATCGAATTTTGCCGTCTCTTTTAAGAGTTGGTTGTTTATAACCTTCATGATGCTTGTTTTCCCCACGCCACCCATGCCCCAAAGTCCAATCTTTGGAACCGCATCATCCATCAAGCACTGCCAAATCTCTCCAACACAGGCCTTTACAGCTTCACCTGATAAACTTCTTGTTGACAAAACTTGTCCGATCCATTGAGGATTGTCAGCCACCAAACCTCCATGAAATTTACCGTGTTGAGTGATAAGTTCTTCAATTTCCTTTATAATCTTTGACACATCTTCTCCGTGAAATCCACGTGTAAGAGCGTTGCTTTCGCCGATTCTTCCATCAAGGACTTGTACTTCGCCATTGATTCTTTCAACATTCCCCAACCATATCCGGACTTCCGACTTGAGTTTCTTTCTTGGCTGCAGCTCTGTTCTCATTATAGATTCTGTATCTTCCTTTAAGCCATTCAATTCCTCCAATTTCCTTTTAAGGTCCTTCCGGTGCTGATCAAGGCTTCCATGATTGTCCAAATGTTTATCTAACTTATTCAGAACAAAGTCCATGGCTGCAAGTTACAAGCAATATGTTAGAAACTAAATAATAAGCATCATTAGGTGAATGTATCTAAACATGACAAAATATAACTTCATTTTACTCTACAAAAATGTTTTAAGTAATTATAAAGATGTGAATCAAGAAGTTTCACCCTCACCAATAATCAAATTAAATTAATAAAAATTTAGGAGTGTGAAATTATAAAATTTCAGAAAACAAAATTAAATCATAAAAAAATATCTAAATTATTAGATACCTTTCCAGTACATCGCTGTCTATAAACAAACTTTAACGATAAATTTAAGGTCTATTGACATAATGACTAATCAGATGTCTTTTTTATTCTGTATAGTTTACAAAAAATTTAAGGAATCTACTTTGTGAGCTTTGAAAAATCAATAAGAATGTTGAAATTCGATAAATACCTCTTTTGAGAAGCTTGTTCGGAGACGATGACGGGTAGAATCACGTGAGGAAGAAAACGGCCAAATGAAGTTCCTTCCCTTCACTTGCAGACAGCTAGAAAAGAGCCGCTCCGAATGGGGTTTTTATGCCTGTGCGAAAGGTAATGGAAAATTCTTTCTATGAAAATATGGGCTATGAAATGCTAATTCAAGCTTTGTTTCAAATTATTGCCCTTTCCCCTACTGCTTTTAATGTTGGGTCCTACCAGTCTGAAATAATGGTGGTTCCGTATAGTCTGACATAATTGACTAATCAAATGTCTTTTCCTTTTTCCTTTTTCCTTTACGAGAAGGGAAAGCTCGAGAAAATGCCAAGTTGAAAGAAGGAAGCTGTCATGAAAGATTCCGAAATGAAAACAAATACTAAATATAAAATTTTGAAATTGTTGAGAGACAATCGCTTGCTTCGTGCATTAAATATTCATAGTTTGTGATTGGTTTTGTGTATGTTTGTGCAACTTTTAGGCACTTGCAGAGTCAAAGGTCAACTGTTTTGTTTATCTCTTGTCCTATACCTTGGCCAAGTCGAAGTTGAGCACAAATAATTGATTTTAAGATCATTTTGAAACATCATAAGAAACACAGAGCAAAACTTGGCTCGAAATACATTGAACTACTTTCAAGCTAAGGATGAACACTGACATGTAACTACAAAATTCGAGTTTGCTAGTTTACAAAATTGAATTGTTTTTTGGGAATTTGTTTCAACGTGAACATCCTCATCAAGTAGCAAACCGCGCGCATTGAGAGGATGAACCTCAAACCTTTCCTTCATGAGCATCCCTTGAACAAGAGGGATGTTGTGATAAATGCAATCTGAAAATTGATGGTTGGGCAATGGGCATACACTTGAAACCTGCAAGTTTTGGCTACATGAATCATGTGCCGTGCAACAATTACGGCTTAAAATTTCATATCCTCTCCATTCTAAACACCCTCTTACACTGGACTGGGAGAAAACCAGTGATTTTCACCATTTCTTTTGTAATGGGTGTGTGAGTTTAATCATTATCGATGTGTGCAATGTGGATTCGATTTTCATCTTCGATGTTTGATACCATTAAGTATTAAACATAAATATCAGAGACATGGACTTATGCTTACTACTGTCTTTTTTTCCTTAAGGATTATTCTGATCCAAAAGTGTTTGTTTGATCTTCCTACCATTACAATTCCCTCACGAAGGGCTACAAAAGAGAATTAGCATTGCGATCATCCCATTCCACAGATTCCCACCACTCCTTTGGCTTTACATAAATACCAAGAGAGACTGGACCAGATATCCGACATTATCAAGTTGAGGAAGATGAATAGCCATCCTGTTCAACTTGGGGCAATCTTGTATTGAAATTCCATCTACAGAATCACAAATCATCAATCCACCAACACTGCAAATGCTCTTCAATTCAGGTAGATGTTTCAACAACAGTATCCTTAATCTTGTACCGGTTCGAGAAACTCACGAAGGGCTCCAAAAGAGACTTCTCATGGGGATGTTCCCATTCCACTGATTCCCGCCACTTCTTTGGCTCTATACAAATAGAAAGTGATGGTCGGGCATTATCAAGTTGGGGAAGATTAAATGGCATCCTCTTCAACTTCGGACAGTTTAGTACCCTAATTTGTTGAAGAGAATCACAAACTATTACTCCATCCGCACTGCAAATGCTCTTCAATTCAAGTAGAACTTCCAATGTCAGTTGCCATAAGTGTGGAAGATGAAATTCCATGATAACCATTTGTATTTCCTCCGAATAACCTTCTGATGCTATGATTTCCTCCACTTCGTAACACCTCCAAACCCTAAGCTATTGTAAATTTAGAGACAGACAGTTTCCCTTAGGTGACGTGATAGCTTTTAAAAGACCCAGCCAGTAGCTTCTAGAAGATTCAGTCAACAGTGACGTGGAGAAATAGACTTAGCCGAATTTTAATTTTAAATTAAGATTTATCTTATTTTTTTTAGAAATTATCTTTTGTTTTTAATATTTTTTTAGAGTTTTTGAGTCTCGATGGGATAAGCCTCAAAGTATATTCAACTCTTCACAGCATTCAATCATTTTCAAAATCTCTTGTTTTTTATTTCTTTAGATTTATAAAAGTTTTTCTTTCTTTTTATTTTTCAAGTTACTTTATTTTTATTTCAAAATGCTAAGTATAGTTTCTAACATGTTTAGCTAAGGTTTATATAGTCAAGGGCTAAAGCAATTACTCGATTCTAAGTCGTGAGAATCGAAAAAAGCGCTTCATATTCTCAAGGGTTGCATTTTCAGTTTTCGGAAATCAATGATCGGTAATCGACCATCCTTTTATAATCAAGGCGATTTTATTTCAAAAAATACACGTTGAAATTGAATTTCGGTTTCGATTAATAATTGGGAGGAAGGATCGACCTGTGGCACATTCAACTTCCTGTGAACACACTTAGTGGCGGTCCACTAAGGGAAACTGAAATCGGGTTAGATTTTCAATTGAGATATTAGTATTCGAGTTGGGTTTTTTTAGATTTTAAAAGCGTTGAATTAATAAGTGATTGTCGCTATTAAATCACAAAGAGTTGAGATCTGAAAATTGATTTTAGATTCTCGATTCATTTGAGAGAAAAGCAAGTTTTAGGGGTTAAACCCTATAGACTGTAACCGGCATGAGCCCGAAGGTAAAATCCTATTCGATGATCGATTTTAAATCGAGGCAAAATCTTTAGCCCAAGGCTGATTTCTACCAATTGAATTTTACCATTTTATTTCAATCAATTTTATTACTTCGCTTTAATTCTCTAAAATCCCCCTCTAATTTCTTTTACAAATCACGCCTGAAGTCAGATCAAAAGTGAGAAAATTGTCAAACTCCTAGTCCCTGTGGATCAACTCTTACTCTCACTATTCTACTTATTCTTATTTATTTTATAATAAAATTTATAGTAAAATTTTAGAAGGTGAAAACATATTATAAAAAAGAGTTAATTGTATCACACGCTCTCAAAGTATGATCTTCATTTTAGATTGATCCTTAAACTTATAAATGTTATAATTTCATCCCTAAACTATAACTATCATTCTAAATTAGTCATCAAACTTTTGAAGACTTCAATTCATCCCCAAATTATGACCTAATTTCTAAATTGTTCCCCAAACTTTCTGAACATTTCAATTTCATATCAAACTATATGTATACACTAATCATTTCCCTTGTAAAATCATTAGGCTAAGTTATATGATTATATGTTTGAAAAAAACAAAATTTAGATTAAACTATGGTTGAAACTAATTACATATTTGGATGAGTTTGGGGATGAAATTAGAATATTCAAAGAGTAATTTAAATGAAAGTCATAGTTTGGGGATGTAATTAAAATGTTCAAAATCTTAAGAGCTAATTTAGAATAAAAATAAAATACTAAAAAATTTAAAGATTAATTTAAAATAAGAGTTATAGCTTAGGATACATATGAAACCAACCCACCAGCTTCTTTTAATATTTTCAATGATCTGATGGGCAAACAAGGGGTAGTGGAGTATTTATCTCCCCAACATGTGAACGGATGGAATTCAATCACTCCTTCATAAACTCATTTAAGTCTGTCTCTCAGCTAAGTAAACGCCAGGTGAAAGTACCATAGTAGTCCCTATACTAGGTGGTAGATTGCATTTTGGTCCTACTAAAAAAATGAGCTAACTAGTTCCTATACATTTGTCTTGAATAAATTAGTCCCTCCGTTTAAATTTTTGTCATTCCCACAGTCAAATGCTAACTTGACAAAAAAAAGGGCTTAATTAATAAATTTGTCATTATATTTTATATTTTCTCGTGAATTAATACTTTTACTTTTATTTGATACCGAAATTTAACCAATTATTTTGATATTTTTTAGATCACTGTCGAACAATATGACATGGTAACACCAAATTTCAAAAAGTGACATCATTCACATATTTTTAAATGATAATAAAAATTAATATATGTATATCGAGGGGTATAAATGAAGATAACATTTAGTGAGTTGTTCATAAATCGTTCGTATAATGTTGTTTATATTCATTTGTTAAACTAAATAAAAAAAAGTATAGACAACTTTTTAATAAACGAACGAATAAGAGCAGAAGTGTGTTCAACTAATTTATGTTAAAGAACAAGCTCGTTTATTGACACATTCTTTTATGTTCACGAGCAAGCTCCTTTAGAATCTCGTTTACTTTTTAATTTTTTACATTTTAAATATTGGTGAATGTAGGGACTAAATTAAACATATGGTGAAATTCAAAATTTAAACTATAAAGTTTAAGGAGTTTAAGCACTAGTGATGTGATTTTTTTCATTTTTTTAGCAAATAAACATATTCGTGAACGTTAAATAATATATAAACGAACGTTAAATCAACATGTTCACGTATGCTAAATGAATGAATATAAACACTTCCGAAAATAAATAAACGAACACGAATATGATATTAAAAGTTTAAACAAATATGAACATTTTTAAAAATAAACAATCGAACATGAATATAACATTATTCCTTCAAACTCGTATCATTTACTCCCTAAATATTACGTCATAATTGCACTTAAAATTATTTGTTTCAAATAATTATTAATATGATAATCGTCCCTATCTTATAAGATTTTAGTTGGTAGCGGAAATCCCAAAGATCCATCAAATTCAAATCAAAGTTGTAATGACATTAACTTGGTGCCACGTGGGCTACCGGTCAACGGAAAGGTCACGTGGTATCACATTATTTACTTAGGTTTTAGTAACTCTTCCTCCATACTATAACATTAAATGCCCTTTCAACATTAAAATAGTTTTATTACTATATAATCATGTTTATCATAATTGGAATCAAGTGTTAATAATTATTTTTGTAAAATATACAAACGGTCTCGATTATAAGATACTATTTTGTTGAATCTTTTGATTGTCAAATATTATAAAATAGTTCATCAATTATACTGATTTGTTTTGTTGAGTTTCTCAACTATTAAAAGTTACAAAATGATTATACGACAATTCATTATGTTCCAAATTCATCATTTTCATTATAAAAATTAATGGTCGTCTGAGATGG